TTTTTTTTTTTTTTTTTTTTTTTTTTTTTTAATATAAAAAATATGTTTTTACCCTTTGCCACACGAAGACGTTATGGACCATTGCGCATCCACAAAACACGATGCCAAGACCTATGAAAACCGACGTAACGATTGCCGGTGTCGAATGAAACTGGATGAATGTGTACAGTATCATACCTGAAAGCATTATTGGATGCGGTTAAATAAGTATGTCATAACAGATAAAATATTGAATTAATGTATGTAGACATATATTGTTGATGCTTATGTAAATTATATAAATTTTATATAATATAAATTATTTAATATAAATATAATTTAAATAAAATTTATATAATATAAATATAATTTAAATATTATATAAATTTTACATAATAATGGCAAACTTTTTTTCAATCGATTCATTATTTAAGTACTCTGAATTATCAATTCCCTTTCATAGATAAATTGTCTGTCTTACTTTTATAATAATAGAGAATTAAATATTTTTGATCGTAATTAATTGATTTTAAAATTGAAAAATTTTGAAGTTTTTATTTGGTCAGATAAGAACAATTGATCTTTTAACAAAGAGATCTCGAGATCTATCATCCATCAATACGTAATTCATTAAAACTATTTTTGCGATTTTAACGATAAATGCAATTATTAGAATTTATTAGCTTATTAAAAAATTATTTTTTGGCTTTGTAAAGATGATTAAAATCAATTTTACTTGTGAAAGGAAACTCGCGAATAATTCATTATATTTTTCAACAGCTCATGGTTAAATGAAAGAAAAATTAAATGTATAAATTCTCTTCAATATTCTCTCCAAAAGGTTAAAAACTTGACAGGATTGGAGGAGTTGACACTTACCAGTTAGAAAGACGGGAATGCTAATGAAAAACCCTCCGACAGCACATATCCGGCTGATGGATGATTTTTGCAGATACTTGTTACTCCTGAAATACAAAAAAAAATTTAGGAGAAAGTGAATTTCACGATTCTGTGATAATGAAGCGAAATATAAAGGAACCAGTCTTCTATTTAACAACCACAAGGACACTCCAAAAAATTCTAATTGATACTTCAAATATATTTAGTGAAACAAAAAATAGTATGATAATCAGAATATTAATCTTAATTGAGGATCAAACAACGTACATGTATAAAAGTAAATGTTACGAAATTCCATTCAAGGATTTGGTGGATTTTACGCTGATGTTAAACAAATGAAATAAGTTGTAAAATAATTTAAATTATAAAATAAAAATGAATAAACACATTACAAAATAATTCCAGTCTAATTGCCTTCGGTCTGATCTTACTTTTGGTAAATTACTTGTTTCACTTAGGTTTCTTTAATCACTACACCTCTCTCTTAAAATGATAAATATAATTCTTATTTTAAGAACGTAATCTTTATACATTCGTACACGTAATCCTTTCGCTGCGTATTGAAATTTTGCCGGTAATTTTTAACAGTCAATTTTAGTGCAATACCGCGGCAAAAGGATTAAAGAACTATGACATTAAAACAGATATTATGGAGTCTTTTCTGCACCCTTTGTGATTTACTACGTCTGATAATAAAAATTATAATCTATACTATACTTTATATAATGATCAATATTTGACAGTAAGTACTAGAAATTTCGTCACACGTCGATACTTCCCT